CATATATGTACAAATATAAATATTTTTTTTCTTTTTTTCCTATTTTTCCTATTTTTCCTATTTTTCCTATTTTTCCTATTTTTCCTATTTTTCCTATTTTTCCTATTTTTCCTATTTTTCCTATTTTTCCTATTTTTCCTATTTTTCCTATTTTTCCCATTCTTTCCCATTCTTTCTTTTTTCTTTTCTTTTCTCCTTCTCCTTCTCCACCCAAAGAAAACACTCTCCTCTCCTCTCCTCTCCTCTCCTCTCCTCTCCTCTCCTCTCCTCTCCCGGTACTCTCTTCCCAGCGCACCCCCCACCGCTCTCCCACACCTATCCGGATCCCGGGCTGAAATAGGTAGGTAGGTAGGGAGGTAAACGAGCAAGTTACCTATCTACCGGTACCGTACTAATTACTTACCTACCGCACTCACCCACCACGCATCTGCCAAAGCCCCAAACCCCCATCCAGGAAAGAAGGTAACTAAGTTACTAACTAAGTGCGTCGTAGCGTACATACTACCTAGCCGGGCTGAGTAAAAGGTGGCGCTGACGAATCTGTACTACTATCGGTATTATACTACTACAGTACTACTACCGGTACGCACGACGTACGTAGTAAGTACCGGTAGGGAGTTACGTACCGGTAGGGAGTTCGGTACGTACCGGTACTACAACTATATCCAAAGTAGAGTTAAGTTAACCAGGCTCTGAAACACGTCTACGTACTACTACTACTACTCTCCCCCCCCATGAATAAATGTCGAAAGTATAATTTCGCAAGGGATCTTACCAAGGCTTAAACCAATCAATTTATATCTTTGAGTCAGTATTTAGTCTATACAGTGGAGTTGACAGGGCTTTAAGCCATTCAGAAACCACCGCTCTATGATTTATGGGCCTAAACTGGGTCCGACATTTATTCATGGGGGGGGAGAGTACCTACTACTGCCTAATACCTACTACGATACAACTATATCCAAAGTAGAGTTAAGTTAACCAGGCTCTGAAACACGTCTACGTACTACTACCTACTACTACCTACTACCTACTACCTACAGTACTACAGTACAGAGTCAAAGTCAAAGTCAAAGTCAAAGTCAAAGTCAAAGTCGGAGTATAAGTAAAGCGTGGGGGTGGAGGTGGAGGTACAACTACGTACGTACGGGGGGCCACGGGCAGCAACGTGTACTTACGGTACCCACCGTCCCCCACTGGAAAGGATAATACTTACTTACTTACTACGTCGCAGGCGTAAGTATTACCCCTCGAGGGTATGGAAAACAGGGGGTTTAAAGTGGAAACTAAACTTTTAAGGCACCCTCGAGGGGTAATACTTAGGCCTGTACCGTGGTACTTACTACTTACTTACAATACTTACCTACTTACCAAGTTACAGTACGGAGCACACCTGAAAAGAGCAGCGACGTCAAGCCCCACTCACTATTACTTACCTACAGCATACATACATACATACATACATACTACGTCGCAGGCGTAAGTATTACCCCTCGAGGGTAGGGAAAACAGGGGGTTTAAAGTGGAAACTAAACTTTTAAGGCACCCTCGAGGGGTAATACTTAGGCCTGTACCGTGGTACATACATAGCAGCAGCAGCAGCAGCAGCAGCAGCGTACAGATGGGAGGAGGTACCTTACCTTACCTTACCTTACCTTACCTAGGTACCTACCTACTTACATGCCGTGCAAAAGAAGCCAAGCCCAATCAAGCCAAATCAAGCCAAGCCAAGCCAAGCCGCTTGATTGATGAATAACAGCCACCAGTGTCTCCTCTCTTTATACAATTACCTACCTACCCATCAAAAGTCCTACAACAGTAACTTCACAGCAGCATTAGTACAATACAATACAATACAATACAGTAGCAGCAAGAACGATCTATCTATGATTTACTTACCTACTTACCTACCTACCTAGTATTAGCAGCGTCGACCTATCCAACCCCCCCCCCCGTAAGCTCCGTCTTGCCATCTTTCTTCTTTATCTTGCTAGAGGAGACCTCCATACATCTCAATCTCAATCCCAATCTCAATCCCAATCCCAATCTCACAAAGGAATACACTCACTCATACATACATACACACATACACTAAACCAACCCTCCCCTCCCCTCCCCTCCCTCCCCCCTCAAAAAATCCATCATCAAGCCCCGCCTAAAAACCAAACCAAACCAAACCAAACCAAACCAAACCAAACCAAACCAAACCAAACCAGCAACGCAACCCAAGACAAAAAAGTCCTCGTCCACGTCCACGTCCTCGTCCACGTCCTCGTCCTCGTAAGCCCTGCCTCATGAAACCCGCGCCCGCCTTCCCTCTCCACCAGAGAACCAGCCTCCTCTTCTCGACAGTGGCTCGGTCGTGGTCGTGTTCGCGGTCGTGTTCGTGATCGTGGTCGTGTTCGGGTGCGGGTGCAATAGGCAATGTGGTGCGGGTGCGGGTGCGGGAGAGGAGCCGAGCACCGAGCACCGAGCACCGAGCGGAAGCGGGGTGGGAGAGAGACCGGTAGGTAGGAGGTACGTAGGTATGCGCCGTCGACCGGTACCTTAGCCGCCGGGGGGGGGAGCGTGGCGGCCGGGAGGGCCCGGTCGGACGCCCGACGAGGGGTTGGGTTGGGATGGGACGGGGCGGGGCGGGGCGGGGCGGGGCGGGACGGCGGGAGGGGATATGATGGACGGAGGGGACTGGGCGGCGGCTTGAGAATCGGGACTCGGGGGGGCTCGAGACTTGGAGTAAGCACTAGATAGACAATCAGGGGAAAAATGAGGGGGGAAAAAGAGGCA